TCTTTGACTAATGTGTTGTTTGATCTTAAAGTATTTGGGGGATATCCCAGCTATTTTTCTGGTTATCGATTTCTAGTTTAAGTCCATTGTGGTCTGAGAGCATACAGTGTATGCTTTCTATTCTTTTCAGCTTGTTAAGGTGTTTTATGGCCCAGAATGTGGTCTGTGTTGGTGAATGTTGCATGTGAAATGTATATTTTGCTGCTGTAGTAATCTGTCCATATCCTTCATATCCAGTTGATTGAGTTTAATTATGTCCCTACTGATTTTCTGTCTGCTAGGTCTGTCTATTTATGATAGAAGGGTATGGAACTTTCCAACTGTAGTATTGGATTCATCCATTTCTCTTTGCAGTTCTGTCAGTTTTTGCCTCATGTATTTGGATGCTCTGTTTTAAGACAAACACATGTGTATTTTAAGGACTATTGTATCTTCTTGGAGAATTGACCCTTTTATCATTATGTAATACTCCTCTTTGCTGGATAACTTTCCTTGCTCTGAAGTGTGCTGTCTGAAATTAATGGAGCTCCTCCAGCTTTCTTCTGATTAGTATTAACATGGGATAGCTTTCTCCATTCCTTTACTTTTAATCTATAGGTCTTCATTAAAATTTAAAAAATGGGTGTTTGGTAAATAACATACAATTTGGGTCTTGATTTTTGATCTGCTCTGACAATCCTTTTTCAGTGATATAGACTATTGATGTTTAAAGTGATTCTGTAGTTGGATTAATATTTACCATATTTGTTACTGTTTTGTTTGTTGCCCTTGTTTTTTGTCTTTTATTTCTGCCTTTGGTGGCTTTGATTGAGCATTTTATCTGGTGCCATTTTCTTTCCTTTCTTAGCATATCAATTAAACTTTTTTTTTAATGGTTGCCCTAGAGTTAGTTCAAGTTCAAGTACCTTATAATAAAAATGTAATCCTAATTTCTGTCTTCTGTCCCTTGTATCATTGCTGGCATTTACTTCATCTATACGTAAATTATGTCCATTGGGTATATTGTTGCTATTATTTTGAACTGTTATCTGTTAGATCACTTACTAATAAGAATACAGAAAATTAGGTCCTGGCCTGGTACTTCAGTTGTTTAGAGCATCGTCCTAATATGCCAAGGTTTTGGGTTTGATCCCCAATCAGGGCACATACAAGAATCAACCAATGAATGCAAATAAGTGGAACAACAAATCTATGTTCTCTCTCTCCCTTCCTCTAAAATCAGTTTTAAAAGTTAAAAATTTCATTTTACTTTTACTCATTCCTAGTCTAATGCTCTTTCTTTATGTGGCCTGAGTTTTTGACCTATATAATTTTCCTTCTCACTAAAGAATTTCTTTTAATATTTCTTTCAAGGCAGGCCTACTGGCAACAAATCCCCCCGATTTTTATTTGTCTGAGAAAGCATTTTTCTTTACTTTTAAAGGATAATTTTGCAGGGTACAGAATTATAGGTTGGTGTGTTTTTTCCCCCCTCAACATTTTAAATATTTCACTCCACTCTCCTCTTGCTTGTGTGATTTCTGAGAAATTGGATGTAATTCTTACTTTTGCTCTATAGGTATTTTTTCTTCTGGCTTCTTTTAAGGTTTTTTCATCTTTGATTTTCTGCAGTGTGAATGTGCTATGCCTAGGTGTTGGTTTTTTTTGACATTTATCCTGCTTGGTGTTCTGAGCTTTGTGGGTTTTTTTTTGTTTTGTCTTATTTTTTAAATGTTTTTATTGATTTTTAGGGGAGTGAAATGAAATGGTTAAAAGGGAGAGCCTAACCTATTGGGGTTTTATCACCTACTAAGAGCTTTTTTAAACTCTGAGTTGTCCACACTGTGCTTCAGCAATTGTCAATTGCAGTTTAGGTTTTCTTACCCTGATACTAGTTCTTATGGAGGTTTCTACTGTGGAAAATGGTGATTTTTCTAAATCCACTTGTCTAATTTTTGGGGGGAAGAGTTTTTCTCTGTGACCTCAGTTCTCAGGTAGACCTAAGAAGAGTTCCTGATTTTCAGTTTGTTCAAAGTGATGACTTCTAGGCTGCTCACATGCTGGACCTGAAACTGGAAGTCTGCCCTACCTTCTCTGTGGCTTTTACTTCTTTACTGCCTTAAATTTTTTTAAAGGTATTTTTTTTTTATTGTGGTAAAAATAGTAGCTGTACCATTTTATTTCCCCACTAACAGTGTACAAAGATTCCAGTTTCTCCACATCCTTACCAACGCTTGGCTACATCCTAGTGGGTATGAAGTGATATCTTACTGTGTTTTTGTTTTTTAAAAAATATTTTTTATTGATTTTAGAGAGAAGCAGGGAGAGGGATAGATAGAAACATTGATCTGCCTCCTGCACGCCTTAGTGGGGATCGAGCTCGCGACCTGGGCTGTGCCCTGAACAGCAGTCCAACTGTGACCTCATGTGTCAAGGCTCAGCCTCTGAGCCACACTAGCTGGGCTAATGGTGGTTTGATCTGCGTTTCCTGAATGATTAGTGATGCTGAGCATGTTTGTTTATGCTTGTTGCCATTTGGATATCATCTTTGGAGAAACTGCCGTTCAAGTCCTTTGCCCATCTGAAAATGAGGTTGCCTGTCCAGACGGTTCAGTGGATTAGCATGGTCCCATGCATCAAGAAGTTACCACCAGTGATTCCTGGTCAGGGTACATGCCCGGGTTTTGGGCTTGATCCCCAGTAGGGAGCATGTAGGAAGCAGCTGATTGATGTCTATCTTTCCCTCTCCTTTCCTATCTAAAAATCAGTAAAAACATGCTAAATTTTTTTAAATGAGTTTTTGTTAAGCAATATATAAAGAACTGCTATAATATTAATTATTAATGCCTTCTCAGTAAGCTTACTATTACCGAATAATAGTGTTTTTCTTGAAATGTGATTTTTCTGACTTATATGTTATTACTGTCCAATGTTTTAGTTCCACTTTGATTTTATCCTGTCCCTCCCACCCAATTAATTTTTGTTATTAACTGATTCAGTGCTTGTTGGGGTTAAATTTATTTACTTACCATTCCTTCTTCCATCTCATGCCTTCCTTAAGTGATCAGTTTCTGAATTCTGAAGTACATTCAGAAATAGTTTTTTCAGTGAGGGTCTGTTAATAAACATTTAGGTTTTTATTTTCCTTCTCATCTAGGCACAGATTTAATTTTGGTTGAGACTTTGCTTCCTGAATATGAGGCTCCATTGCATATCTTTTATTTAATTTAAAAACTATTTTTACTGATTTCAGAGAGGAAGGGAGAGGGAGAGATATAAATATCAATGATGAGAATCATTGATTGGCTGCCTCCTGTACACCCAACACTGGGAATTGAGCCCCCAACCTGGGCATGTGCCCCGAGTAGGAATTAAACTATGACCTCTTGGTTCATAGGTCAATGCTCAACCACTAAGCCATGACGGCCGAGCTCCACTGCCTTTCTTTTATCAGTTCTTGAAATTTCTTAGCTAGTAGCTCTTTATAGATTGCCTCCCCCCATACTTTCTGTCCCTTCCTTTTGTACTACTTATTAAACTTTGTCACTTTTGGACCTCTTTTGTATTTCTCCTTATCTATTAACCTCTCGTTCACTTTTTCTGTCTTTAATTATGTGCTGCCTTTTGTAATTTCCTCATATCTCTTCTTAACCACTATACTCTTCATTAGCATCTATTTGCTATTTTTCTTTACATTTCTAGCAAATTTTATTTGGTTAATTTAAAAATCTGATCTTTATTGATAGCATCTTGTTATTGTGTCCTGTTTTTGATTCCTTCTTTTATGACTTAATTTATGATCTGTAGCCTATCTTACTTTGATTCTTATTGGTGCAGACCTCTTTTGTTCAGTCATAATAAAAGAGTAGTCCTTATGTGTTTTGTAGTTTGGACTTACAAACTCAGGTTCCGCAGGACTTCATCAGAGGGACTCTTGTGTGAACTCGATAGGGAATCTCTTTCCATACTATTTTTGTTTACCTCTGGTAGGTTTCCCAGGGATATTACCAGGCTGAGACCATTTTTGGGTTAGCTTCTCAGTGAGAGCAAGTCATCCTAGACCACTCATTCTCTAGGTATACTATCTTCCCTTTCTGCCTTAAAAGAACCCAGGTCCTGTTATCTTCCTGTGTCAGTAAGGTGATTTTTTTTTTTTTTTCACTAGTCTGCTGCTTTCCCAGAAGCTATAGTTCTTAACATTCTTAGGATTGTTTACTGCTTTCCTACCAAGAGCTTTCCATGCATTATCTCAGAACAGTACTGGGGAGAGAGATGGTAGGCTTCATTATCCCAATTTTACAACTAAGTAAAACCCAGGCTGTTTACTTAATGATTTATAGAAAAACTAATGACTCTCCTGAGATTATGCAGATGGCAAATGGTGAAGATTTTCTCACGGGAAATGAGGCATTCTTTCGTGTATTTTTGCCATGCTGCCTGGAGGTATTGTTTTTATTGTTTTGTGTGTTTTTTTCTTTTTTGGTTGCCTCTTGAAAGTGCCCCAACCAGGGTCTGAACCTGCAACCTTGGTATGTGCGCTGACTGGGAATCGAACCCGCGACCTTTTTGGTGTAGGGGACCACACTCCTACCAACTGAGCCACCCTGGCCAGGGCACTGGTGGAATTCTTCATTAGGCTGAAACTATATATCAGTTCATTATCAGCCATAAAGAACCTTATCTTGTAGGTTTATTCAAATTAGAGTACCTGCTATGTTTTAGGCCAGGGGTGGGCAAACTTTTTGACTCGAGGGCTACAATGGGTTCTTAAACTGGACCGGAGGGCCGGAACAAAAGCGTGGATGGAGTGTTTGTGTGAACTAATATAAATTCAAAGTAAACATCATTATATAAAAGGGTACAGTCTTTTTTTTTTTAGTTTTATTCATTTCAAACGGGCCGGATCTGGCCCGCGGGCCGTAGTTTGCCCATGGCTGTTTTAGGCACAAGAAGCACATTTGAGAGCTGACGTGCAGATTTTATATTTACTGCCTGACATGTTTTATGTTTTCCGTCTGTAGAGTGATAATGGTCTCCAGCTGCCAAAGAAGGTTGTGGATGCCAAAAGAAAGGTAACCATTTTTCATCCCCTCGAGTGGAATTGGATGCCCCTTGGAGTTCACACTGGCTGGCGGTAGACATGGCTGAGTTTACAAACTACAAGGATACTGCCTCCAGCCGCCACCTGCGGTTTAAGTTACAGAGTCTAAGCCGCCGCCTTGATGAGTTGGAAGAAGCCACAAAAAACCTCCAAAAAGCAGAGGATGAGCTCCTGGATCTGCAGGACAAGGTGATTCAGGCAGAAGGCAGCAACTCCAGCATGCTGGCTGAGATTGAAGTGCTGCGGCAACGAGTGCTGAGAATTGAAGGCAAAGATGAGGAAATTAAGAAAGCAGAGGACCTGTGTCAGCTGATGAAGGAGAAACTTGAAGAGGAGGAAAACCTCACCCGGGAGCTGAAATCTGAGATTGAGCGGCTTCAGAAACGAATGGCCGAACTGGAGAAGCTAGAGGAGGCCTTTAGCAGGAGTAAGAATGACTGTACCCAACTCTGTTTGAGTCTGAATGAGGAGAGAAACCTGACGAAGAAAATCTCCTCTGAGCTGGAAATGCTCAGGGTGAAAGTGAAAGAACTGGAATCTTCCGAGGACCGCCTAGATAAAACGGAGCAGAGTTTAGTGTCAGAGTTAGAAAAGCTGAAATCATTAACTCTGAGCTTTGTAAGTGAGAGAAAATACCTGAATGAAAAGGAGAAAGAAAATGAGAAACTTATAAAAGAGCTCACTCAAAAACTGGAGCAGAACAAAAAAATGAACCGAGATTATACAAGGAATGCTTCGAATCTTCTGGAAAGGAATGACCTGCGGATTGAGGACGGTATCTCTTCCACACTGCCATCTAAAGAATCAAGAAGGAAGGGCACTCTGGACTATCTAAAGCAGGTAGAGAATGAAACAAGAAATAAATCTGAAAATGAAAAGAACAGAAATCAGGAAGACAATAAAGTCAAAGATCTTAACCAAGAGATTGAGAAACTTAAGACTCAAATCAAACATTTTGAATCTTTGGAAGAAGAGCTTAAGAAAATGAGGGCCAAAAATAATGACCTTCAGGATAATTACCTAAGTGAACAAAATAAAAACAAACTCCTAGCCAGCCAGTTGGAGGAGATAAAGCTACAAATCAAGAAACAGAAAGAATTAGAGAATGGGGAGGTGGAAGGGGAGGATGCTTTCCTGTCTGGCAAAGGCCGGCACGAGAGGACTAAGTTTAGAGGCCACGGGAGCGAGGTATCTGCGTCCAAGCACACATCTCGGGAACTGTCCCCTCAGCACAAGCGGGAAAGGCACCGAAACAGGGAGTTTGCTCTTAACAATGAGAACTATTCTCTGAGCAACCGGCAGGTTTCTTCTCCCGGTTTCGCGAACAGGAGGGCAGCCAAAGCTTCCAACACAGGGGCAGGTACAGATAGTGGGACTCAGGAGACAAAGAGAACTGAAGATCGATTTGCATCTGGCTCCTCTCAGAGTGAAGGGAAGAAGTCCAGGGAGCAGCCACCAGTGCTTAGCCGCTACCCTCCCGCTGCTCAGGAGCACAATAAGGTTTGGAGAGGTGCTCCCAAGCCAGGCACTGAGAGTGGGTTGAAGGGAAAAGTAGAGAAGACAACACGAACATTTAGTGATACCACCCACGGATCTACTCCCAGTGACATATTGTGTAGAGCTGACAAGGCTTCTGACACCTCCACCGAGGCCCTCTTTGGCAAGAGGGGGCAGGCGCCTAGCAATGGAAGTCAAGTGACTCAGGCTGCAGACTCTGGCAGTTCTAAGGCCATTGGCGCTCTGGCCTCATCTCGAAGATCTTCCTCAGAAGGGCTCTCTAAGGGCAAAAAGGCTGCCAATGGCCCAGAGGCTGATACCAGTTCTTCAAATTCTAAGGCTCCACTTTCATCGAAGTATCCTTATAGCTCCAGAAGCCAAGAGAACATCCTTCAGGGTTTTTCAACCCCAAATAAAGGAGTTGATCAACCTGTAGCAGTTGTAATGGAAGACAGCAGTCAACATGAGGCCCTAAGGTGTCGAGTCATCAAATCTAGTAGCAGAGAGAAGCCAGACTCAGATGACGACATGGACATGTCGTCTCTTGTTACCGCCAAATTGGTCAACACAACCATCACCCCAGAGCCAGAGCACAAGCAACAGCCCAACTCTAGAGAAACAGCCAGATCCCGAGGGGGCCTTAGAACCGCCCTGTCGGGGGATGATAAAGATGTCGGGACAGAAAATGAATCTGTGAAACCTGTCAGAGCCTCCACCAATGCTGTGGAATTCCCAGAGGCCAATGGTGCTGGGGTGAAAAGTCAAAGGCCCTTCAGTCCCAGAGAGGCCTTGCGGTCCAGAGCTGTCATCAAACCTGTCATCATTGATAAAGATGTGAAAAAAATCATGGGAGGGTCTGGAACTGAGGCCACATTGGAGAAACAGACATCCACTTCCAAACCAGGACCAAACAAAGTGACAAGCAGCATTACTATCTATCCCTCTGACAGCAGTAGCAGCAGCAGCCCAAGAGCTGCCCCAGGTGAGGCCCCGCGGGAGAGGCACACATCCACCAGTAATATCCAGGTTGGGCCACCAGACCTCACATCAGTGAGCAACCATGTCAACTCTCCCTTTGAGCTCTCCATTCACAAACATGACATTACCTTGCAGTTCACAGAGGCTGAAAGAATGGGAGATGGGTCCCTGAAGGACAGGCCTGAAACAGTGGTCTCTCGGAGCAGCATTATAATCAAGCCATCGGATCTGGTGGAGAGGAATAACCATGCACCCCCTGCAGAGACAATCAGGTGGAAAGGCCATAGTGCCCCTTCGGAGGTGAGCCCTTCAGAGGCCAGGCATGTTACTGTGCGGAATGCCTGGAAGAGCAGGCGAGATTTGAACTCTTTAGAAGACCCTCCAACTCAGATAGGTAAACATGTGGTATCTACCAATGCCTACACCCAGAGGTCTTCTACAGACTATTCTGACCTTGAACAGCCCAGGTCTTATCTTTTGGAGCAGGGTCCTCGAAGGGTAGGAAACCCAGGGGATGCCCCTGAGCTCTCTTCTAGAAGGACCCAAAGTAGCCTCACTGTGTCAGAGATGCTCACTCGCCGGAATCGGGTAGGCGATGCTGTCACGGCTGTGGCTTGGAACCATGTGGCAGGCATGGTAAGTCCCACTTCTTTCCCCACTTCACTGTCCCTTCCCCTTCCCTTTTTTCCTTTGCCCCCTTTGTCCTGGCTTACATGACTCAGGATTATGGAGACCATGGGGCTGGGAAACAGTGGGTAGCTCAGATAACTGTTGAAAATAAGGCAAGTTTGCCCTTAACCGCTTGGCTGCTGACGTATTTTTTCGGACATATGCCAAAACTGCAGCACTAATTGCGCGTGTATGGGAAAAAATGTAAAACACTTTTTATACAAATTCTAGCGTTTGAGCAGCATTACGCTCTCCGCAGTCTTGGCATAAAAAAAAAACAGGAGTGCTATCATGCTCTTCGCATTTTTGGAGTAACATAAGAAGAGCGTGATAGCGCTCCTTAGCAGTCAAACGGTTAAACAATTAAAGTACCTTCAGAAAGGTATTTGACAGAGGAGCATGAATTTCCAAAAATCCTTTTTCCCATTTGTCTCCTGTATTTGCCTTCATGTATGCAGGCCTCAAAAAAGGAGATAGGGCCTCTGCTTTCTTGGGTTGCCAGAGTAGCCAAAGGAGCTCTCCTTCTGGCTCCACAGAGCAGCACCTAGAAACACAAGAAACAGCTGCAGGGAAACTCTGAGTAAGAGGAAGCCCAGGGCCCTTTCTGTAGAGCAGAGATGGCGCAGGGAAACGAAATCTTGGCTGCCTCAGTTCAAACAGAGGATCTTTGCCAGCTGCTGGCATGTAGGGCAGGGGTGGGGAACCTTTTCTCTGCCAACGGCTATTTGGATATTTATAACATCATTTGAGGGTCATGAAAATTATTAACCTAAAAACTAACCTGTTATATTTGGTCAAACATGTATTAACTCACCAGTAATGTCTTGGCAGGGCCAGACAAAATGATTGGTGGCCATATACAGCCCGTGGGCCAAACGTTCCCCACCCCTGATGTAGGGGGATGAGGAGAGCTAGGGCTTACACTGGGCCTACTTTATAGGCTTTATGCCTGAGCATCTTTTTGCCCCAGATACCTGTCAAGCCCATTACATCATCAGTCTGAGGGCAGGGCTGGTTCCTGTAGCTTATTACAGGATAGATAAATGCAGAAGCTACTCTTTGTTTGAGGGTCAGACTGTCAGAACAGCATTTGAAGGGGAAGCCACTGGGAGTATCTTTTAGATGTGGAGCCTGTGATGACATTTTGGATCTAGACATTATGACTATACTAGAGGCCTGGTGCACAGATTCGTGCACTGGTGGGGTCCCTTGGCCTGGCCTGGCCTGTGCCCTCTTGCTATCTGGGACCCCTCAGGGATGTGGACTGCCAGTTTTGGCCTGATCCCCATAGGCCAGGCTGAGGGACCCCACCGGTGCATGAATCTGTGCACTGGGCCTCTAGTATGCATGTAAAATCTTTGGTTAACCTTTTCCCTCCCTTCCCCTTCCCTCCTTCCCTCTGAGATTCATCTGTCTGTTCCATATTCCATGCCTGTGCATTGAGTGTCTGCCCCTATTGGTCAGTGTGTGTCATAGCTACTGATCGAACAGTTGCTTAGGCTTTTATATATATAGAAGATAGATGTTAACACTTGACAAAGCACTTCTCCACCTACTTACCTCATTCAGTCTCTCCAACAGCTGTGAGCAGGTTTTATCTCCATTTTTTTAGATGTAGAAACTGAAGGTCAGAGACAGAAAGTGCCTTATCCAAGGCCACCCAAGGGAAATACTGGAAGAACTAAGATTTGAATCCAGGATTCCTATCTCTAAGTCTACTCTTCTTTGTAACCTGCCACCCTTTCTCACTCATACTTGTGTCCTTTGATCTTAATTTGCTTTGGAGCACCAAAGCAAAACATTAACAAGGCAGAAGTCTGGTAGGAGAGAGTGAAAGATGGGTGTCTGGCCCTCTGAAACTTGGGCTGAGATAGGATGAAAGGTATGTGATGAGGAGAGATAGGATATGGCATGTAAAAGAGAAGGAATGTGACTTATTGGTGGGAAGTAGGAAAAGAGCTGTCCAGCTTGTTTCAGCATACTTCCTGCCTACCCACCCAGGAAATGGCTCTCACCCTGAGAAGCATGCAGCCTTCATGTGCAGAACTAGAGGACCACTGGCTACTACCTAAGGGTACCACTCCCATGCCCCCATTCCTGGCCCTGTACTCTGTAGAGCTCCTGTTCACTTGTGCGCCCCCCCCCGCCCCCCCAACAGTCTACCCTAGGAGTTCCTAGCAGATTGGAGTTTGCAGTCTACTCTGATTTCCAAGGAATTTTTATATTGGCCTATCTTTGCTGGTCTGTCTGGGCTAGATCTCCCTCTGCTAGGCTGGAGAGGGACCACTGGGATAACAGGAATAGGGAGTGAGGGTATCTTTGTTACTCACTATATTGTCTTCCATATCTCACTTTTGTCATCTATTGGCACAGGAGGAAGGCGATGACTGCACACTCAGTGTCTACAGGCGACCACACAGCTCCATGGAACGGCCTGAACTGCCCGTGAAGCAGGGGCTGTCAGAGTCTGGGCAAGTACAGGCTGAGGAACGGTCACGACCAACCAGGCCCTGTGCTGAGGAAAACTGAGCCAGCCGGGTGAGGTCTGCTGTGTCCTCTGCTCCTGCTCAGCTCCTCCACCTTCTCATCCTATGAAGGATCCCAGGCCAGTTCACTGGGCTAGACACGAGGCCTTGGCTGGGAGATTGTAGCAGAGAGCCAGGCTGTGGCTCAGGTCATTTTTTGCCAGGTAGATCAGAAACTACAAGTTGGACAGTCACCCAGGCCCAGCCTTCCCCGATTGATGCATGAGTCCTCTCTCCTTGTCCCTGCCCTGTTCCCGGTAGAATCGGCCATTCTGGCCCCCAAATAGGGAATGATATAGAAATGTCTTATATACTCACCACACAATAGCCCCTTCCACGCAGTTAATGTTCTGATTTCTTGGTCTCCTCACCACATCCAGTTCACACCCTGTCTGCCCTCGGGACCCAAGTACTGACACTAAGACTTACCAGCCATCAGCTCCATTTAGGGAGCTTCCATTCCTTTCCCTTTGGAATTCCTCAGACTTTTACCGGAGAGGTCTGTGTTGCCTCTAGGGGATTATGGAACTATGACCTGGCCCCCTTGCTGACCACTGTTTTCTGGGGGCAGAGACACAGATACCTGCCCACCTATTGGAATGACATCATCCCTCCCCTGACCCCAGCTCACCTTCCAAAGGCACCTGGAAGTGACAAACCTCATGCATCTCCTTCCCTGGGCACTAATAATGCTACTGGCATTGCCTGCTTCTCTCCTGTGGCTGGAGACTTCACGCTGACTTTGTTTCCACCTTCGGAATATTCCCAGACTAAACTGGGCCTGACCCAGCATACTCTGCCTTCTAGGAAGCGCCCAGCAAAGGGGAAAGTGGACAGGAAGAAGCACTTTTCCTTTAGTCACTCCACAAAGCAATAGCTCCAAGAAAGGCCTGGACTTTGTTCCTCCTCCTCCATCCCCTAGGGAGGAGGTATCGCACTTTACCAAGCTGATGCATTCCTACAGAAGTGGGCCCATGATTCCTGCAAACCAACTATCATGATGACTTCATGGGAGGAAAGGTAACACATGCCCATTAAGGGCCCCAGATTTATACAGTTCAGAATGCAGCAAACTGTTCAGGAAGCCACATAAATAAAAACTGATTAGCTTCCTTATTCACATGGGGAAGTTAAAAAAACCCCATGTAATCTTGACACTATTTCTGTAGCATTCTCAGTTCAAAAAAGGGATCCCCTTCAAAGGCTACCTTTATGAAGCAGAGACTTCCTTCATAGTGAAAGAGCATTAGAGTAGGAGTCAGGGAAGCTAGATTTTCTTAATGGCTTTATACTTTGCCTCAGTTTCTTTATCTATAAAATGAGTTCTTTGAAATGGTTTCTAAGGGTCCTAAATCTGGCATTCTAAGATTCTTCTTTTTCCATCAACCACTGGGTGGTGGTGTGATTCTCGATTTTGTAAGGTGTCAGTCATCAAAATGGGTTTGAGGAATGTGTCCTTTGATGGTTTTCCTGGGCCCTTTTAATTGTGAGGTTGAGCTCAGAGACACTCCGTTGGCTTCATTTTTCCAGTCTGTAACATGGTTAGATTGATGATCTCTGCAGCCCTTTTTGGCACCAATGCCATACAGTATCTCCTGCTTGCACTTTCCATAACACCAGTTGGTGTGTGTCTTGTTTCTATGCTTCTCGAGTCATCTTTTCTGGCTTTACTCAGTGTGGGAATCAATAATCAATGTTCATCCCCCTATGTCTGCATCAGACTTGGCAGTCCTGGAGGCTTGGGGAGCACCTACTGTCCTTTCAGGGACAGGAATGTTTTGCTCCTGTTTCCATTTTCTGGAGTTTTGCCAATCTCAAGGCGTTGTCATGAGGCTTGCCTGTACTTCACATTGCTGCCTCAGATGTTCAACTTCAGATGCAATTTTCAAAACCTCTTCCTACTGACTTCTCCTGGGTCACCAGCCAGAAACTAGCTTTCTCAAGGCTGCAACCTCTCACTTACAGCCTTCCTATCATCTTCACTGGTTGGCAACCCTGACAGTCCAAAGGAAACTGACTTCCATTGGTGGTCAACTAAGAGTATAGGAAGGCCTGGCTCTTCTCTGCTGGTGGAAACACGAGTGCCAAGCCATGCCTTCAAAGTTCTTGCTGATAATTCTCATCTTGGGCACTAGAGCCCTGGATTCTGGTGCTGTAGCTCCTGGTGCCAAAGTCTGGATCTTTTCACATTTCAGCAACATCAACATCTGCCGCTACCCAAAATGCTGTGTGGAAGAGGGACAGCTCTGATCCTCTCTCGGTGGGGCGGCTATCTTAAAATCTGAGTGCAATAAGGTTGGGTTATACCAGTTACTTCAGGATATTTTGTTTCATCTGCACATTTTCTAGAACTGCTGAAAAATAGATTTTAAATGTCCTCAGCATTATAGAAAATACCATTTGTAATAGCCTGTGAAGGCTATAGGCTCAATTATCTTGGGCTTCAAATGGCTGGCAAGGCTGGCTCTCAGATCCCAAAGTTGGAAGACACGTTTTTGAAAAGCAACCTAGGTGAGACCATCTGGACCCAGGCCTCACCATCGGGGGTTCTGGGAGAAACATCCAAATAAAAGGGAGACCTGGTAGTTGAATAGTTCTCTAATCAAGCCAAATATTCCTTGTCCCAGCCAATAAACCCACTTTACGACAGGCCTTTTATGCAGCTTAGCTCGAACTTTCAATTTTCCTGGCAGGTATGTGGTTGTGGGAGGGTCCTAGTGAGGCGGAGAACCTGGCTCTCCAGAGCTGCTTTGCTGGAGGAAGTAGAGCTGGCCAAAAGCCAGGAGCTGGTCTCTGCTACCTGCTCTCACCTGTCTCTTGCCGTTCTGGTATTAAAAACAACTAGAGAAAGCTGCAGGGATATGGGCAAAAAGCAGCAGTGGCTGTTTCTGCTTCTGAGTGGCAATGGAGCCGTTATAATGTGGGTCACAGGGATTTGCAGTGGGGCCAAGGATTCCAACCTTGTCCACAGGCAAGCTTGCACATAAATCATCCCTCTCTCCTGGGGTGTGAAGGGGTCTAGATTGATCTTGGACTTGTCAACCTGGAGCAGTTTTAGTTCATTATATTTAGTGGGTTAGTGCCAAGTGCTACCACTTTCCAATAAGGGAACAGGGACCCAGCCTCTGGTCTGGCCCCCAGCTGCCTTTGTTGGCGTGGTGTTCTGTTGTGTTTTGTTTTTGGTTGTTCAGGACTGCTTTGGAAGAGCTGCTTTTAGGGATTATCTTTTGAATACCCTGCGTGGGGAACAGGGTTCTCAAAGCCTCATAACCAAGATCATAGGAAAGGGGCCCTATTTTCCTGCTGCTTCACAGCTCAGAACAATGTACTGAATGGAATGTATTTTTAAGAGAATAAAGTCTATTTTTTGTATTTTAAAGATTGGGAGGGCTGGGGAAGTAGCCCGCAAAAACTGCTATTACATTATCTGTTGGTCCACACTTACTTGCTCAGGCAGGTGCTCGGCCTCCCCGCCTGGCCCTTGGAGTCTGGGTGCAGCAGCTTCTACATTC